ATCAAGGCACTGAAAGAACTCATGCTTATTTCTTCCAAACTCACACCCCAAAAAGCTATGTCCAAACACCCACCAACAGCAATGAAACTACCCTCTGCAGCCTGGACTAAGTGATACAGTATTTTCCGGCGTATAAGATGACCCACGTATAAGACGAACCCCCATTTTTCCAGTCAAAATATAGAGTTTTAGCACCTCTATCCTAATTATCCTTATATCCGGCATATAAGACGACCCCCCCACTTTAGCCACAGATTTTGCAGGTAAAAAAGTAGTCTTATACGCAGGAAAATAAGGTAATTTAAATTTACTCAACTAAATACTCCACTAAACTATACTGCTTCTTTTAAAATAAAAAATATCAGTGTTTATTTTTTTTAAAAAGTTATCAATATCTTGGACTACTTAGTAACTTGGGTGTGGATTTTTGAAACCATAGGAGCAAACGTGGTGTAGTGGTTTGAGTGTTGGACTACGACTCTGGAAACCAGGGTGTAAATCCCCACTCAGCCATGGAAACCCATTAAGTCACATTCTCTCGGCCTCAGAGGGAGGCAAAGATAAACCTGCTCCGAACAAATCTTGCCAAAAAACAAACAAACAAAAAACCCAGGATAAGGTCACCTTAGTCAGCATAAGTCAGAAATAACTCAAAGGGATGCAAAAACAAATCCTACAATCCACCCTTTGAAACAGCATCAAACAATCCCACAAGATATTTAGAAAACTTTGGGGAGATAAAATGAAAGATAAAGACAAAGACATGGCTGGTGTTGGACAGTCTTCCACATTTTCTTAATAGCATCACTTTGAAGTACATACTGAAATACTGTTATCCATCTTTTGCAAATCCACACAGCAAATTTAGAGAAGCACTTTGGATTCAAACCCTGGTCTAGTGGGAGGTTTCGGAGAGCTGCAGTCCCAAAATTAAAAAAAAAAAGTTGGATTCAGAGATTGCCTAGTATTTTTAGTGGAAAAACATCTGCTTTGACTCCAAGAGATTGCAGGGTCCATGTCCGCACCTCCAGTGGAAAAACTCCAGATGCGATGAAGAAAACTTTTGCTTATCAACTATACTGGGGTAAGGAAAGCACTGACCCTCAAAGTGTTTTGGACTTCAGTTCCCATGATGCTTTACTACATGCTGAGGGCGGGATGATGAGAGTTGGCAGTCCAAAACATCTTGTCAAAGGTTCCCTACATCTGAAGCAGACAATACTGGGCTAGACTAGAAAGTAATCCATGCTGAAATTGGGAAGTATTCTGTATTTGACAGAGACCCTGGAGAGGAAACACAAACACAAATACACCTGTATTTCTGTACTAAAAAATCATTGGTGCAATATGGCATATTTCTTGAAAGATGGTCCACCATCCCACATCTTCCCACTTGGAACTGACCATCCAAATAATATTCAAAGAGAGAAAGAATTCCACAGTCTACTTATGAGCATTTACTTATTTATGGGCAGCTGTCTACAAAATGTACTAAACTA